ATATATATATAAAATATAAATAAATATTCCCTAATAACTAATTGGAGCCCTGGTGGCACAGTAGTTAAGTTATATGGCTGCTAACTAAAAGGTTGGCAGTTCAAATCCACCAGCTGCTCCTTGGAAACCCTATGGGGCAGTTCTACTCTGTCCTCTAGGGTTGCTATGGGTCGGAATGACGTCGATAGCAGTGTTTTTTTTTTTTTGGAATAACTAACTTTCTTATAGTTATTAAAAAACCAAACCAAACTTGTTGGCGATCCTGTGTGTTACAGAGTAGAACTGCTCCATAGGATTTTCTTGGCTGTAATTTTTACAGAAGCAGATCATCAGGCCTTGCTTTCATGGTGCTTCTTGGTGGGTACGAACTGCCAACCTTTAGGTTAGCAGTCAAGTGCAAACCATTTGCAATACCCAGGGACCCTAAATTAGTTATTAGGGAATATTTATTTAGTATTTTTTTATTCCAACTAATTCAAAGAGAGGATGTAAGATCATTTATATACATATATACACATGTGGCACAGTAGTTAAGAGCTTGGTTGCTAACCAAAAGGTTGTCAGTTCAAACCCACCACCTGCTCCTTGGAAACCCTGTGGGGCAGTTCTACTCTGTCCTGTAGGGTTGCTATGAGTTGGAATTGACTTGAAGACAGTGGGCTTGGGGGTTTTTTTGGTATGTTGTTAGGTGCCGTCAAGTTGGTTCCGACTCACAGCGACCCTGTGTACAACAGAACGAAACACCTCCCGGTCCTGCGTCATCCTCAACAATCGTTATTATGCTTGAGCCTATTGTTGTAGCCACTGTGTCAATCTGTCTTCTTGAGGAAGGTCTTCTTCTTTTTCACTGAATGTCTCTTTTACCAAGCATGATACCCTTCTCCAGGGAGTGGTCCCTCCTGATAATATGTCCAAAGTATGTGAGACGAAGTCTTGCCGTCCTTGCTTCTAAGGAGCATTCTGGCTGTACTTCTTCCAAGACAGATTTGTTTGTTCTTCTGGCAGTCCATGGTATATTCAGTA